TGGTGTTCTATATATGTTGTTTGGAAATAAATGCATTTTCAGAATTTGTTGACCATACTCATAGGGAGAGAGGGTAGTTTGGTTAAGGACCTGTGTGTGTATCATGGAGCATTCCAGATCACAGAGCCCAGAAACATTTCGTCTTGGGCTGGGTGGTGGACATGGGGTTGCAGAGTAGAGGGTGAAACACTGATAGAGTTGTTGACAGTATATATGCACTTTAGCAGCCATAGTAATGCTGGATCACAGGCATTTCTGTGTCCTGTGAAATGTGTACTATCTTGGGAATGTTACCACTTCTTGCCCAGGGTGTTTTGTAGAGGTGTAAAAAACACCCTCCTCCTGCCTTCCAGTTGAGGCGCCCTTTGGGGAATTGGTGTCTTGGTTAAACACATCAAATAAACAACTCTGGGAATCTGGTGACAGGTTCTAAAAAGTTCTCATATGTTTGTATTATGTTTTCATGACATATATTTGTGACAAAGAATTGAAAATACTCTAGAATTATTTTTCTTTCTGAAGTAGTTGACTTATGGCATAAAATTAAATGTTAAGTTCTGTGTTTTTTATTTTTCTAATACAAGTAGCTCTGTAAATCTGAAAAATAAAAGGAGTTACTGTTTTAAAGAATATTTTTGCCCCCTCTGCAGTAACTCTTCGGTTTTAATAGGATTAGTATTGGCAGACTGTTAGAATGGACATTCAGATTTTGCTGTTGGAGAAACTTAGTTGCCCACTAAGAACACGAGTTCCCATCAGATTAAAATTAAAGACATGCGTTGTCTTCTACTTTCTCTTTCTTTGTGGCCTTCAGATCATTAAATTTAGTGACTCAGCTAATTTTTTTTTTACCCACCTCTTAGAAAAGTTGAATGTGTTTGTGACCAAGCACTTAAGGTTATTTCCTTTAAACCAAGTGTTTAAGACGTTTTTAGATTTATAACAGTCTTTGTTTACTGTGTAATTCAGTCCAATTGAGGAACTAGTAAAACTGCATTATCCAGACATCAAAGACAGACATGTAAGAAGAGCATACTTATACCAGGAAACCTATTAGGTTTCTAACAAGTGGAAAGTTACCAGGTGTCCAAAAATTAACCACTCCCATGCCAGTTTTTTCTTTTCTCTCTATCTCTATCTCTATCTCTATCTCTATCTCTATCTCTATATAAAAGTTAGTTAGCATTATGGGTTTAAAATATCAGTTGCTACATTCTTGAGTTGAGAATGTTTTTTTCTTTAGCTTCCTTCAGATAACTGAGACTAACTTGAATGGACTAAATAAAGTAACATGCCATTAAAAAATTGTAACTAAGCAGGTATTGAATGGATGATAGTTCAAAATGGAGACAATATCTTTATTTCTTGAGGTTTAAGAGCAGATCAGGGTGTGTTTTCCTGAGATTCCTGTGAAGGGAGATTATTTGGCCACTTTACAGAGAATACGTGGACTGACCTGCCAGGTGCATGCAGCAGTCACTTGAAGTAGGACCTGTGTCACCAAGTTGTGTTTCAAGATTGGTCAAATGGGTGGCCTTGACGCCTGCTAGTCCCTGGGATGAGGAATTGATAGAGAAGGACCCTGTATTGGGAGCAGCACCCTTGAAACCTTCATCGACATTCCCATCTGAGTCTCCGTTTTAACAACCCAGGCCTCCTCATGGGTTGAAACAAAATTGTGTATGTGCGCTACAGAGTCATGTGCAAAAGCTTTCCTTTTCAGGTATTTCAGAGTAAACATACTTTATTTAGGTATTCATAAACATCTCATAATTTTACTTAGGTAAGCAATTCCCCAGGGAGGTGGGGTGAGGGTGGGGGTGGGGCTCGGGAAGATTTATTTTGTCTTGTCTCTCCCATGGGTGCCTGCTGGAGTCTGGAACTTAGCTTCTTTAGGAGCACGCCACTAAGGTTATCTGGAGGCCATTGCTTACAGTGGCTGAGATTTCTCTTTTGAAAATAGTCACGAGTTTGACATACCACATCAGCCACATTTTGTTTCCATAGGGGGTTTGACTTTCTGGGTATCAGAGGAAGATATGGGTGTTTTGGAAAGGTCTGAGAAGTTATCATAGGGGACAACTGTGCTCTCCCATTCATTGCCCCCTCGTCTCAGTCAGAATAACGTTTGGTGGTCTGACTTCTGGCAACATTTCTTATGAGATAGGCCACAAAAACATAGTAAGATTGTGGAAATATTGGGTACCTACCAGACATAAATGAGATTCAAGAGAAAATTGCTCTGTTTATTTTAAATTCTCCTCTTTGGGTGCTCTCAGGAGACTGTCTATTTGGTTGCAGGTTTTGCAAAGTCTTATTTGTGCATCTAAGTAGATGGCAGTGCAACATAAATAGTAGTAGTCAGAAGACCATTTCCGAAGAGGCAGCCAGAGACTACACATCTGACTTATTTAGCTGGAAAGTTTCTAAAGAATTTGTAAGACATCATAACATTGTATTACCTCATCTATTCAAACTTTAAGTCCTGTACGGTGCCACTTTTCAGCCACAGTCTGTGCTTCCACAACCTTCAGGAAAAAAATCTAAGCTCTCTGAAAGTGGCTTGATCTGGCTCCTGCTCACCAGCTAGTGCATTTCTCTCATCTCTTCCCCACTCACACTTGGTTTCACCTGGTTCCCCCATCGCCCATGCTTTTTTTTCTGGAGAGAGAGGGTCTTTGCTCATTTCATTCCGTCTACTTCAGGTCTCACCTGAGATGGAACTTCTTTCACAAAGGTTTTCCTAAATCTAAAAGACTGGATTTGAAGACTCTTTAATATGCTCTCATAGTCATTCATTTATCCACTTTTTCAATAAATATTTGTGTCAAGCACTGTGTCATAACTGAGGACGCAGAAGTGAACAAGATAGGCCCTAGCCGGTTTGGCTCAGTGGATAGAGCGTCGGCCTATGGACCAAAGGGTCCTGGGTTCGATTCCAGTCAAGGGCACGTACCTTGTTTGCAGGCTTCTCCCTGGTCAGGGTGCATGCAGGAGGCAACCATTTGATGTGTTTCTCTCACATCGATATTTCTCTCTGACTCCCTCTCTTCCATTCTGTCTGAAAATCAATGGAAAAATATCCTTGGGTAAGGATCAAAAAAAAAAAAAAAAAGTATTGAACAAGACAGTTGGGACTTGTCCTCACAGAGCTTATGTTCTTTTTTTCCTTCTTAATATATTTTTATTGATTTCAGAGAGAAAGGGAGGAGAGAGCAAAACATCAATGATGAGAGAAAATCATTGATTGGCTGCACACCTCCCACTGGGGATGGAGCCTGCAACCTGGGCATGTGCCCTGACTGGAATTGAACCATGACCTCCTGGTTTTAGGTCAGTGCTCAACCACTGAGCCATACTGGCCGGGCGTGCTTATGTACTTGTCAGGGAAACCACCCCATATTCACACATTATAAAACTTTTTATGCTGTAGCTGGTTGGCTCAGTGGATAGAGCGTCAACCTGTGGACTAAAGGGTCCCGGGTTTGATTCTGGCCAAGGGCACATGTCCGGGTTGCGGGCTCATTCCCCAGTGAGGGGCGTGCAGGAGGCAGCCAATCAATGATTCTCTCTCATCGTTGAAATTTCTATCTCTCTCTCTCCCTTCCTCCCTGAAACCAATAAAAAACTATGTTAATAAATAAATAAATAACTTTTTATTTGGAAATAATTACAGACTTGTAGAAAGTTGCAAAATTAAAATAGCACAAAGGAATATCCTATATACTTTGCCCACATTCATCTATTATTGATATTTTACCTCCTCATTTGCATTCTTACTCTCTATATAAACTTAGTGAGGGTTTTTTTCTGGACCAGTAACATACATTATGACCTTTCCCCCCAAAATATTTCAGAGTGTATTTCCTAAGAGCATGGCTGTTCTCTCACATGAATGTTAAATCAACTTCATAAATTTACATAAGTAAAATTCTTTTATTTAATATTCTGTTATAGTCCAGTGTTGTTAACTGATCTAATAATGTCCTGTATAGATCCCCCTTTACCCCTCTCTGGTGCACAATTCAGTCTAGGGTCAGGTAATGGCATTTAGTTAGGATGTCTCTTTTTAGCCTCCCTTAATCTGTAATGTTTACATAACCATTCTTTGTCAATTATGATGTTGCTATTTTTTTTAAAGTATAGGGTGTCCCCTCTCCCCCATTTTTAAACAGAATCTGGCTCATTTTGTGTTTTTCTGATGTTTCCTTGTGATTAGGATGAGGTAATGGATTCTAAGCCATCATACTGCATAGTGATGTATCCTCCCGGGGGATCACATTTGAGGCTCATGATGTTCTTCTAGCCCTCTTTGGTGATGATAATTTTCATTACCCAAAGTGTTGCCCAGTTTCTCCACTGTATAATTAGTGTTGCTGTTTTTATTTTTTCCTTTGCAACTAGTAAGTAGCCTTTCAGAGGACACCTCAATTACGTACAAATACGCTGCTCCTCATCAAAATCTCCCCCCTAGATTTAGCGTCAAGTGGTGATTCTTGTCTGATCCAGTAGTACGACCTGAAGGTTTCTTTATTTTGCAGTGGCTTATAATTCCTTACTGTACTTGGTTTGATGCTCAGACTGTCTCAGATTTGACCTGTGGGAGCTCCTTTGACTGGCTCCTGTATCCTTATGAGGCATTCTATCATTTTTTCTAGCACTTCCTTTCTTGCACAACAAGATGTTCCAGGCTCATCTTGTACTAATCCTGCCCTATCCTTGGAATCAGCAGTTTTTCCAAGCAGCCCTCAAACCCTTGTTTTAGCACTTAGCACACTGCTTACTATATGTCTTCCTTTGTTAGAGGACTTTGTACCTCTCTGAGGGTACATTTATGGCATTCTTATTCACTCTTACATCTTCAACCAGTATTAGGTCTGGAACATTCATTGTTTGCTGTATTTGTTGAATAAGAATATCGATTTCTGCTGTAGTTCAGTGATTATAATTGAATTCCAAAATGATGATACTGATGGGTTTTCTTTTTTTCCTCCATCTAGGAAGAAATGTTGGCTATTTGGCGATGATAAGTGGCAAAAACTGACCTTGTACTGGTACACAAGCACTACAGGACCTGACACTGCTGCATGGACAGCCAGCCCCTGCTGATAATGTTGGGAAGCCATCGGGTCCACTGGAAAACACTAATCTGATCTCGGAAGTGGCTGATTGTGGCAGGATGTGTCGACGATGATGATGGCAAGAAAGCAAGATGTCCGCATTCCCACCTACAACATCAGTGTGGTGGGATTGTCTGGGACCGAGAAGGAGAAGGGCCAGTGCGGCATTGGGAAGTCTTGTCTGTGCAACCGCTTCGTGCGCCCAAGTGCTGATGAATTTCACTTGGACCATACCTCTGTCCTCAGCACCAGTGACTTTGGTGGGCGAGTGGTCAATAATGACCACTTTCTCTACTGGGGAGAAGTTAGCCGATCCCTGGAGGATTGCGTGGAATGTAAGATGCACATTGTGGAGCAGACTGAATTCATTGATGATCAGACTTTTCAACCTCATCGCAGCACGGCCCTACAGCCCTATATCAAGAGAGCTGCTGCGACCAAGCTCGCATCTGCTGAGAAACTCATGTACTTTTGCACTGACCAGCTGGGGCTGGAGCAGGACTTTGAGCAGAAACAAATGTCAGATGGAAAGCTGCTAATTGATGGTTTTCTTCTCGGTATTGACGTTAGCAGGGGCATGAATAGGAACTTTGATGACCAGCTCAAGTTTGTCTCCAATCTCTACAATCAGCTTGCAAAAACAAAAAAACCCATAGTGGTGGTCCTGACTAAGTGTGACGAAGGCGTTGAGCGGTACATTAGAGATGCACATACTTTTGCCTTAAGCAAAAAGAACCTCCAGGTCGTGGAGACCTCTGCAAGATCCAACGTAAACGTGGACTTGGCTTTCAGCACCTTAGTGCAGCTCATTGATAAAAATCGGGGAAAGACGAAGATCATTCCTTACTTTGAAGCTCTCAAGCAGCAGAGTCAGCAGATAGCGACGGCAAAAGACAAATATGAGTGGCTGGTGAGTCGCATTGTGAAAAACCACAATGAGAACTGGCTAAGTGTCAGCCGAAAGATGCAGGCCTCTCCTGAGTACCAGGACTATGTCTACCTGGAAGGGACTCAGAAAGCCAGGAAGCTGTTTCTCCAGCACATCCACCGCCTCAAGCACGAGCATATTGAGCGCAGAAGGAAGCTGTACCTGGCAGCCCTGCCATTAGCTTTTGAAGCTCTTATACCCAATCTAGATGAAATAGACCACCTAAGCTGCATAAAAGCCAAAAAGCTCTTGGAGACCAAGTCAGAATTCTTGAAGTGGTTTGTTGTGCTTGAGGAGACCCCATGGGATGCCACCAGCCACATTGACAACATGGAGAATGAGCGGATTCCCTTTGACTTAATGGACACGGGCCCCGCAGAGCAGCTGTATGAGGCCCACTTAGAGAAACTACGGAACGAGAGGAAAAGAGCTGAGATGAGAAGGGCATTTAAAGAAAACCTGGAGACCTCGCCTTTCATAACTCCTGGGAAACCTTGGGAAGAGGCCCGTAGTTTCATCATGAATGAAGATTTCTACCAGTGGCTGGAAGAATCTGTATACATGGATATCTATGGGAAACACCAAAAGCAAATTATAGACAGAGCAAAGGAAGAGTTTCAGGAGCTGCTTGTAGAATATTCAGAATTGTTCTATGAGCTAGAGCTGGATGCAAAGCCCAGCAAGGAGAAGATGGGGGTCATTCAGGATGTTCTGGGGGAGGAACAGCGATTTAAAGCATTACAGAAGCTCCAAGCAGAGCGCGATGCCCTTATTCTGAAGCACATTCATTTTGTGTACCACCCAACAAAAGAAACGTGCCCTAGCTGCCCGGCTTGTGTGGATGCTAAGATTGAGCACTTGATTAGTTCTTGGTTTATCCGGCCATCTGACCGGAATCAGAAAAATTCACTTTCTGACCCCAACATTGATAGAATCAACTTGGTTATCTTGGGCAAAGATGGTCTTGCCCGAGAGTTGGCCAATGAGATTCGAGCTCTTTGTACAAATGATGACAAGTACGTGATAGATGGTAAAATGTATGAGCTTTCCCTGAGGCCAATAGAAGGCAACGTCAGGCTTCCTGTGAACTCTTTCCAAACGCCAACATTTCAGCCCCACGGATGTCTCTGCCTTTACAATTCAAAGGAATCTCTGTCCTACGTGGTGGAGAGTATAGAGAAGAGTAGAGAGTCCACACTTGGTAGGCGAGATAATCATTTGGTCCATCTCCCACTGACACTGATTTTGGTTAACAAGAGAGGAGACACCAGCGGGGAGACCCTGCATAGCTTAATACAACAAGGTCAGCAGATTGCTAGCAAACTTCAGTGTGTCTTTGTGGACCCTGCTTCTGCTGGCATTAGTTACGGACGCAACATTAACGAAAAGCACATCAGTCAAGTGTTGAAAGGACTCCTGGACTCTAAGCGCAACTTAAACCTGGTCAGTTCTACTGCTAGCATCAAAGACCTGGCTGATGTTGACCTGCGAATTGTCATGTGTTTGATGTGTGGAGATCCTTTTAGTGCAGACGACATACTCTTGCCTGTCCTTCAGTCCCAAACCTGTAAATCTTCCCATTGTGGGAGCAACAACTCTGTTTTACTTGAACTACCAATCGGACTACACAAGAAGCGCATTGAACTGTCTATTCTTTCATACCATTCCTCGTTTAGCATCAGGAAAAGCCGGTTAGTCCATGGGTACATTGTTTTTTATTCAGCCAAACGTAAGGCCTCCCTGGCTATGCTACGTGCCTTTCTTTGTGAAGTGCAGGACATTATCCCCATCCAGCTGGTCGCACTCACTGATGGCGCTATAGATGTCCTGGACAACGACTTAAGTCGGGAACAGCTGACTGAGGGGGAGGAGATTGCTCAAGAAATTGATGGCAGATTCACAAGCATTCCCTGTAGCCAGCCCCAGCATAAACTTGAGCTCTTCCACCCGTTTTTTAAAGATGTGGTGGAGAAAAAGAACATCATTGAGGCTACTCATATGTACGATAACGCTGCCGAGGCCTGTAGCACCACGGAGGAGGTGTTTAACTCTCCTCGGGCGGGCTCTCCGCTCTGCAACTCAAACCTGCAGGATTCAGAAGAGGATATCGAGCCCCCTTCTTACAGCCTGTTTCGAGAGGACACATCACTGCCCTCCCTGTCCAAAGATCATTCTAAGTTCTCTATGGAACTGGAGGGAAATGATGGGCTGTCTTTGTTCATGAGCAACTTTGAGAGTAAAACAACTTTGAACAACAAAGTACCTCCGCCAGTCAAACCAAAGCCTCCTGTCCATTTTGAAATTACAAAGGGGGATCTGTCTTACTTAGAACAAGGCCATAGAGATGGACAGAGGAAGTCTATGTCTTGTAGCACCTGGCTACCTCCAGATGGGTTCGATCCTTCTGATTACGCCGAACCCATGGATGCTGTGGTCAAGCCAAGGAATGAAGAAGAAAACATATACTCAGTGCCCCATGACAGCACTCAAGGCAAGATCATCACCATTCGGAATATCAACAAAGCCCAATCTAATGGCAGTGGGAATGGTTCTGATAGTGAAATGGACACTAGCTCTCTAGAGCGAGGCCGCAAAGTTTCCATTGTGAGCAAGCCAGTGCTATACAGGACAAGATGCAGCCGCCTAGGGAGGTTTGCTAGTTATCGAACCAGCTTCAGCGTGGGGAGCGATGATGAGCTGGGACCCATCCGGAAGAAAGAGGAGGACCAGGCATCCCAAGGTTATAAAGGGGACAATGCTGTCATTCCATATGAAACAGATGAAGATCCAAGGAGGAGAAATATTCTTCGCAGTCTAAGAAGGAACACTAAGGTAAGACACCAGTTGAGAAATGAGTCATAGAAGTAGCTTGCCCAGTATCTTGGTGAGAGTTTACTGATGATGGTTTTCAAGGACAACTTCCTCTGGTAAAAATCTGTGTGTGTGTGTTTACTCTTTGTTTGACTTAGCATATAAAAGTAAGCAGTGTTGCCCGGCTGGTGTTCCTCAGTGGTTGAGCTTTGACCTGTGAACCAGGAAGTCACGGTTTGATTCCTGGTCATGGCACATGCCCTGGTTGCTGGCTCGATCCTTAGTAAGGGGCATGCAGGAGGCAGCTGATCAATGATTCTCTCTCATCATTGACATTTCTATCTCTCTCTCCCTCTCCCTTCCTCTCTGAAATCAATAAAAATATATTTAATACAAAAAAAGTAGGCAGTGTTTTTGATAGCTACTGCTGGTGTTCTCAATAGTGAGGACCTTGAATAGACAGCTTGACTTGTCTTTGTTCAAAATGATAATTACCAAAATGAGCAGAAAGTGTTGAACTTGTCAGTATTCTGACAAGTTGCCAAGCTAGTGACGATATGCTTGTTCTTCCTTCACTTAAATACCAGAATCCAAAATTGTGTGCCTCAGTCTTATTGCTAAACAAACAGCTCACTCATACATGTCTTACTGGCTCCTCTTCCCCATAACATTTTAGGTTAGAAAAAGTGATAATTATTTTATTGGCACAAATCAGTAAAGGGTATTCAAGTACGTAAATGAAAAATAAGGATCTTACCACCGTGACTTCTAAACCTGTTCCATATTTACAGTGTCAGAAAGGGGCAAGGCTGTATCATTTTTGTTCTGTTCCTCTCCCACTCTGAGCTGATATTAATAAATATCATAGGCATTCTTTTCCTATCTGGTTTTCCCTCGGTTTGTTTTTCTGCTTGGATGCCTTTATCTGCCTTTAGTATTTTGTTCTCCAAAGGTTGGTAGTGAACAGACCCATTGAAAGCATGAAGCCAGAAAGTAGCCTGACCTACGTCCCAGTATTTCCTTAAAGCTCCTGTTTAATGATACTGGGATCCAAACATTTTGAACGTTTTGTCTTCTCTTCCTCCTCCACTCCCAGTGTTGCCAGAACAGCTTCTCTAAATGCTGACAGGATTCCGATTTGTGGGAGTGTTTGCACACCTGGGAATTAGGAAAGTGGCATAATAGCACACTGCGAATTATAACTGTTTTTCTGACTTCTGTTTTTAATACCTGTTGAAAATAATGCTTTTAAAACACAATTCCCAAACAAACCATGCTTTAAACTGTAAAGAGCACACACTGTGTAGGCTCAGCAGAAAACGGCTGGATAGGGTGAGCACCTGAGGTCGCTACATCAATGCTGGTAATGAGCACTTTTTACCTAAGAACTTCTTTTTTTAAAATATTTTTTTATTTTAAATATATTTTAATTGATTTTAGAAAGGAAGGGAGAGGGAGAGAGAGATAGAAACATCAATGATGAGAGAGAATCGTTGATCGGCTATCTCCTGCACGCCCCACACTGGGGATTGAGCCCACAACTGGGGCATGTGCCTTGACCGGGAATCGAACCATGACCTCCTGGTTCACAGGTCGACGCTCTACCACTGAGCCACGCTGGCCTGGCTACCTAAGAACTTCCTTATTCTGGGTTGCTGGGTCAGCATGCAAGAAAGTGATTGACCTCCCATCTATCTTAGTTATGTGGGCCACACCTCTTCAAGTCAAATAAAAACGATATCTCTGGCACAAGAGCAATAGCGTGCCAGAAGTCAGTTTAAGAGTATCCTTTGGAAAGAGTGAGTAAAAGGTGAAATTGTCTTTTCCTGCCTTGGAAAATGGTGCTTTGAAATGAGTGTATTTGCTTTGTCATCTTAATGCAGAGATAAGCAAAGCCTTGATTCTCTTCCCGTTTGGAGCAAACTTGCAATTAAAATTGCTGCCATTAATGTAGACTGACACTTGTCTTACAGGAAAAGCAAGATACCATGGGCCAGAGAATGTCATGCCAGCCCCATTTGGCCTTTGATTTTTACTGTCATGACAAAGCAATAAGTATTTATTTGAAGTGAGGGGGGAACCAGTTGGTAATGGAAAACACACTTAGTGCCTCCTGCCAGACACCACTGAGGAAATGGCACAGACCTGTGCACCCAGTTGAGGCAGCAAAACCCATGCACGTTGTGAAAATAGGTGCTCTGCTGGGGGGGTGGAGGGGCTAAGTAGGGATGGGCTGTGTTGGGGCAGAGCAGAAATCCCATGTTGGGAGTAGTTAAGGTAGTATAGTATGTGATTAGCTCAGGCTCTGGGAAGGGGGACGCTAAATCCCAACTCCTCCACTTCCTCACTGGGACTTTGGGCATATGGTTCACCTCTCCACATCCCTTCTGCAAAAGGGGAGAACAGTAGTACTGTCCTCATATGGTTGTGGGGAATGGAATGAGCACACTGCATGCTGGGAGCATTAGTTATGATATTTAACTAGACCTTGAGGAATGAGGTATGAAAAGGCTGGAAGGTGAAAAAATGCATGTTGTATTCAAAGAAAAGATAAAAGTGGTCAGGTCTAGCTGTGGGCTTGGGGGACCAACATTTTCCCTCCCTTTTGTGCAAATTTTAACCCTATGCGTTATTTAGCTACTTTTTCAGCCCTTACCCTAGCAACAGCCCCAACAACAACAAAAAAGCTATGCTCTGGGTACTGAAGTGATGTGGAGAAGAGAAATTGCTCAGCCTCTTGGCTCATTTGCTGGATTAGCTCTTTACTGTAAAATTGGACTTGGAGTGAGGGACTCGCTTTCATTTCTGCTAATGAAAGTGCAGACTGTAGAGCTGACTCTCATTCTGGGTCCTTTTCCCAGCTGAACCATTTAGCAACCCACCCTCATAGTGGGAGTCTTCCGCACTCAGCTGAATGAAATTGAAAATCTACGATTGCACTTGAGTGGGGTCTATGAATAGATGCTTTGTCTGTAAAGAGCTGTTGTTGCACATGGTCTCTGTCTCCCAGTGCCATGCGTTTGCAAAGAGGAGATCAGGACTGGCAGGGTCTTATTTTAAAGGAAAAAAACAGGCTGGGGTGCCTTGCTCCACAAAATGTGCCTTTTGGGCAAGCTCAAATTGCTGAATTTGGTGTGTTTGACCACAAATTAAAGAGAAGCCATTATTGGTTATTTACCCTTCTATCTTATGTGCTCTTATTTTTGTGTTTAAAAAAAAAAAAGACAAAACAGAATGATAAAGAAAATCTTTCACTCACTGGAGCCTACCACATGACAAGACAACCTATTGAAAAGCAAACCAATTCAATCACGCATTGTTTGGTCTATAAGGCACCAAGTACCCAGTTTGACAGTTTGTGTTCCCCCCAGTGAATTGGCTTATTTCATCGGATTCAGTGAATTGGCTAGTTGTTGTGGCTTTGTGTGGACACAGCTCTCATTTTGTGAGGCCTAGAACGGAGTTAAAGTTTCTAGTGTGAATAAAAACCAGCTGGGGAATTGGGCTGCTCCCTCCCCAGGGAGGGATGTTGCATTTGACAGACAGGCTGAATGGTATGGAATAAGATTTTTTTGACCTGCTCAGAAAAGACTCTCAGTGTGTGCTTCCAAAGGGCTGGTCCTACTCAGTGAGCTGTGAGGCCAAATAAATACCCTGGTCTTAAAAATGGGGTGGGGGCACTGACCTGACCTTGGATTTTCTAGTTTTTGAATGAATTGTATTTTTTAAGAGCAATACTTTTGCTCCAAAGCTCATGCTTATTCATTATTTTAGGAAGGAAACAATGCAGTGCATAGGCGTTCAATGAGCACTTGTGCTGATCTAGCTCAAGTCACAGGGATGATAGATGTTAAGCATGAACTCACATGCATTTTGAATGTTACCAGAAGGGAGGTACAGGGTACTGTGGAATTGTGTAGCAAGTATATCTGGGAAAGCTCTCCAAAGAAATGATACATAAAGCTGAGACTTCTAGGGTGAGGCAGGCAGAGTCAGTGAAGATGGGGGTTTCATGAGGGGAGCTTTCAAGAAAACAGTATGAAACTTGGAGCTGCAAAAACATGGCATGTTCAAAGAGTTGAAAGAAACCTAGAGTGGTTACTGCAAAAAGTGAGGTAGAACCAGGCCAAGTAGCAGGGCTGTGCATACCATACAAAGGGTTTTGTACTTTGCTACCTTTTTAAATACCTACCTATTGTGTACCAGGTACATACCAGGCATTTTCATAATAGTTTTCATCTATTTCTCTTATCAGTGATTTTTTAAAATTTTGGGTTTTGGAGATGAGAAAATAGGCTCAGAGAGATTAAATACCCTGCCCAAGTTAGTCAAGAGGAGGAGCTGAGATTCCTGAAGCCTGGTCCATTGACTTCCACTTCCGGTGGGTTTTTAGAATCCAGTCTACTAGAAAGATGGTACTATTCAGTAGCCAGGCACACATTTGGACCACTCAGTCAGTCAGTTGAGTCAATTTGTTCCTTTTAAACAAATTATCTGAAAAAAGTCCATTTCCCCACACTGCCTCCTAAGAACAGCATGGTGCTGTTTGTTTCTAGCTTCAGAGTCTAGTTGAGTAGAAGACAAAAAAGGCATGGAGACACTGAAATAGCAGCTGGAACTCTGAGAAATTATTTTGAACTGGTGTCATTCGTTTCTCAGTTTATTTTAAGCCTAAAGCACTGCTATAGTGTGTTTTTGGTAATAAAAATAGACTATCTTTAACTATTTGCCTTTAGCTTACAGCACACCTGCTCTCTCTATATATATATATATTACAGTAGGCAACCCAAATCTCTTTTCAAAGAACAGGGGATTGCTCTGATCTTCACTGAGTCAACTTGTTCCCTCCAACACCTAGTGATACTGAAACATCTTTGTAAGGACCAGATTATTTCCTCTCTGGTCAGGAATCACCTCCACTTCCCTAGAGAAAGGCCTTCGGAATTCGTTTTCTCCAATGTTGGAGAGCAGGGAAGCAGGTAAAGACTGGTGTGTAGCTCTGGGAAGTCCACATTCAGTGA